ACCCCTAGTACCGCACCCTCAAAATTTCAGACCCCAGGGTAGGGGACTTCGATGTCCCCGAGCCCGATGTTTATTCGTATAGTATTATATAGTAGGGCTAAAAACTGGAGCTCCATATCTCGGAAACAAGAGATGGTACCATCACCATTTTTTCAGAGAAGTGGTATCTGCCCCCTAGTACCCCACCCTCAAAATTTCAGACCACACAGCTAAAGTTAAAATTTTGAATTGCGAACTGCGTTCTAGAACGCAGTTTACTTTTGAATTGCGAATAGCGAACTGCGAACTACGTTTTAAAATCTGAACGCCATAGGTGTGTGGGTTGTTCTAAAGTTGGTAACGCGAATTAACTGTAGAGTTTACACTCATTTGAGAGAATAATCTTGTTTAGTATCATCAGGAATTGGATCTAGTTTACGTTAATTCTGGTGAAGTCATTACGTTTGTTAGTACCATTAAAGCGGAATAACTTCAATCTGTGCATCCAGAACTTTATTGCTTTTTTTTTCTCTGAGCGTCTGTCCATCTTGGGTTATGGTCAATCACTACTACTGTCATGTCCTCCCACTTGTGACCTTCAAGGTTGAAATGTTCCCCAACGGGTTCATTGAGTTTTTTTGGTCCTAATGGTCGAACGGTGGTTATTGACCCTCCTGCGGAGATCTCCTGTTTCACCGATGTCCTGTTTGGAGCAAACTTTGCAACTGATGAGATAAATGCAGTTGTCAGTATGACAGGACAAATTCCCTAGTATTTTGTAGTAATGCGGCCTGTAGCGGGGCTGTTAAAACTTTCTGTATCAGAACTGTGCTCTTGTAATGTTTACTTTTCATCAATAGAAACAAGTTTAGTTTCATCGTGAACACAATTTTCCTCATAACAAAGAACACCAATATTCACATCACGTAGCTGATAGTTTATAAAGGCGTTCTATAACGATTTATATGTTCCTTGCATGAACATCAAAACGTAGGGGAATCCTTCATTATTTGTGCGATATAATGTATATTTTTCAATCTGGCAGAAGGAATTATCCACATTCTGTTAGGTACTGTAGATTATAGAACATAGATTTTTATTTTCCTCAGTTTTGTTTATCTAATCAACAAACTAAGTATTAAAAAGGATTGATGGAATAACTGAGAATAGAAAACAAATTATATATATTATGTTGGCAAATTAAAATTAAATTCTTCAAGCTTTTTAAGAACAATAAATGAAATATACTTATAGGAGAATATATACTAATCAAAATTTCTAAGTCCCCAGGTAAGTTTTTGCTTTACACTGCTTTTATATTAAATTATTTAAACAATATAAACTAATAAGTATACAGGATAAAAAGTAGCAAAGCAATTATTTTTCACTTAATGTAATTTTATTGAAGCGCTTTAACACAAAATGCACAAACATAAAGGCACCCTAGAATTAAAAATTCGCAACGTTCAATACTGCATTTATTCTCCATTCAAACGAATTAAGAGCAAGGCAACTGCTTCTCAATGAGTTCACACTATTAAAGAAAAATCTTTATTAAAGGTTATTCCATGTATTGACTAGGTCGTTCTCTATAGATACGCTAGATTCTGCTGCTGGAAAAAGCTCTCACTCTGCGGTCCATCGTGTCCTATTCATGTTCTATAGGTTTGAGATGTGGATAACATTGAAGCTTACCGAAATTGTTTGAACCCGACAATATTTAGCCTACATAAGGTCTCCTTACACGCATTCCCCACCCTCCCAGTTTGTTTCTTAGAATTTGGATAATTATGGAGACTTCAATCAATTTTTAATGAGTGCAGAGCAATTGCACGTGCTGTTAGGCTCCTTCCACAATAGTGAGTAATTCTTATGCAATAGCCCTGTTGATGTGTCGTTGCAGTACGTGTATACGTCTTGACCATAGGAACTTCCGGTTCCGGTTTAAGTGAATTTCCGGATAAACCCTAGGATGGTTTAGTGGTATTTGTTGAAAATCTAGCGATTTTAATGATTGTAAGAAATTTAGGTAAGCTTTGTTCAACTTTCTGACGGTATTTTTAAAGATTTTAAGTAATTTAAACAAATACAGGGGAAGAAAATACAACTCCTCTTTACTAACACTAGCTTGGACCATGTCAACTCCACTTGCACATTGTTTTGTGGACATACACGGCATTTTAACCAAACTTTTTTTCTGTTTTTCGTAACCAACTAAAGATTGAGAACACATGGAGATTTAAATAAATGAAAAGATACACTCGAAAACATATGAAACTCACACTTCATGCTTTTTAGCAAAAAGGTTGAGTAATTACACATTCGTAACTTGTAAGCAACTTGTTAATTGATTTTAAGGTTTAAAGATAAAACGAATTCAACAATCAAACAACTTTACTACTCAAAAGTTTTTTCTGTGTTAAATATTTAGTTTGCCACTTAAATTATTACTTGCAAAATTATGCCTTTTTGTTGCAGAAAATGTATTTTGTCACAACCAATTGAATTTTTTTTTACAGCAAATATTGTTATGGGGAAATAGAATCCTTTATACGAGATTCACGAAGTTGTGAATTTCAGTTTCCTGGTTTTTTTAATTTCATAGTTCGAGGTATGGAGATATTATTTAGAAAATATTCTAACTATGTCCAAACAATTATCGATTTTTTACAGATTCTAATTTTTCATCATGTAACACAGCTTGTGGGATTATCATATCAGTAGAAAACAAATGGCACAATGCAAATATTCACAATATCAGTGTCTCCCAAGTACATGTATATGCAACATTTGCTGGCGACATTGATAGAAACCAGTTTAAAATAAAGCATTATTCTTGTGGAGCTGAATTCATCCATAATCAGAAAACAGAGATGTACTTACTGTGTGGCCTTAGGAAAGGTAAGACAAAAAACAAGTTACTGTAGCAATAAATTCTTGAGGTAAAACATATGACCATTTTATGACAAGAAATATTCTCGCGTAAAATCATATAATTTTTTAATATGGTTTACATTAAAGAACAAATTTGAAAATTTCCAAAAAAAAAAATATTATGAAAAAAAATAAACAAAATGATTATAAGTAGAAAATCTTGCAAGCACTGTCATTTCCAATTTAAACTATATGCTGTAAGATTCTTCAATCCTTGAATAAGTGAGTACAGTGTATTAGTAGAAAAATATTCCCCGCCCAAATCCAACCTTTCACATTCATATGTATACATTACAGTCTACCTTTAATCTGATTGAAAAAAAGTTACGGGAAGTAAAAGTGGAGCACTGATTCAAGTCAAAACATGGATGGCTGAATGAAAATAATTCCTGAATTTTCCACTTCAATTTAGGCATTTCTGCATTTGATGGAGGGCGGTGGGGTGATCTCTTTTATGAGACGATAAAGTATGTGTAAAGTTTCTTAGTTAGCAGAATCGTGCTCAATTTTTCGGGGACCGCGCGCAGGGGGCGGTTTCCAAGATTTTCAATGAATAAGATATGGAAATTAAACGACAAGATAGACTTAAACCCTTTTAAGCCCCGAGTTTGGGTGTCTTTTAGAATGATGCAATAGTTTATCAATAAAAATCTGCTGTCATCCCTGCCACCAAATGAGTATTTGATCTAAGGTTTAGAATACACAGAAAGGTAAGAAAATAGATCAATTTTCGAATTTTCTCATTTTTTGCTTATTTTCATCCATTTTACATTATATTTTGTTTCGGAAAGACATATAGAACAAGCTTTCATATCTACTAAACTTAATATACTTTATACACTAGTACCAAATATAGTTTATGTGTAAAAATCGTACATAGGCAAGCGTATGCTGTATGTTTTCCGAAGAGAAAAGTGTCTCAAATATGATGAAATTTTACCAGAATTGAAGTAATTCAGGAAAATGTCTTACTTCTACACCCTCTTGTGACCTCCATGCAAGCCTTGAATCCAAATAAGTGCTGATTTTAAAGCAAGCACCATTTAAAATTCTGACATACAAAGTATCACAATTTTACCAGAGTTCTGATTTTTCATCTAATAAAGGGGCCAGATTCGGCCAATATCCTACATTGTTCTTTATTATTTTGAAGCGCAAATGAATGAAACTTACGATCGCCACTTATAACCATTTTTAAAGATAATTTAATTGTAAAATAAAATTATTATGAATTATATAGACAAAACAGAAGAAACTGAATGCTGCAAAATTATCTGATGATATCAGCGGAACTTAATTTTATTCATGAAACTCCAAAGATTTTTTAAATTAGATATTATGTACATGTATCTGTAAATTGACCTAGCTGTCTCTAAAAGAAGGGTGTTCTGACGTTCTGTACTTCAAAAGAGGAAATAAAACATGTCCACAAGATTTTTACCATAAACCGCATTTTTTATTTAAAAGAATGTATTTTCTATGGCATAAGGAAGGTTTTTCGTCTCCTTTCTATCACCAGAGATGTTTTATTTTATGCTAATTGCTGCAATTTAGTTCCCGTAAACTACTTAAATGAAATTAAAATGAAAAGTGTTTAAGAACTTTTTTTTTTCGAAATGCTAAGATAAATTATTTCTTCTTAATTACATCAAGAAATTGGTATCATCTATAAGCATAAAAGATTAACCTTCATGTACCCTAGTTAGCAAAAAATGTGTAAAACGAAATGAGGAAAACAAAGGAATTGAATAATTTATCATTTTAAGTTAAAAAGATCAAGCTTAGAAGTTTATACAACCTTTTTTGTGAGCTCATATCATAAAACTGAAAATATGAATTTTTCAGTTTTTGAATAAGCATCATTTGAAAATGTAATACATTACCGCAAAACTGTATGTAATGACCTCTATTTGTGTGATGTTTCAGACAGATTTTCTGGGCCTTCTATGAGGACGCTTGATACAAGTCAAAAGGAAACGAATAGAAAAAATATTATCCCGAATTCATTCCGCTGAACATCAATTCCATTTTATGCAGAAACCACTGTTATACATTGAAAGAATTAAACTAAGAGAAATTCTGAAAATATGGCTTTGGAAGTTACAGAGAAAAATGAATGTAAAAACAATCTTGTTTCCATGGCAATGGAAGGCAGCTAGAAACTTTTTAATATTGACTGAATAAAAAAGTTTCTAACCATAATTTTTGCAAAGGTTCATCACATTTCCAAGCCACCTGAAAAAAGTTTGTCCTCATTTTAACATTTCCTGTTTCTTTCAATCATAAGGCAACAGTCTGTAGAAGATTTTAGTATTGAAAGGGGCCTGGACACATGCAGTTTCATCCAAAAATTTTCATACCATTTTTTATGTTTACAAATACTTAACTAAGTATTTCTAATGATCAGCAAATTTTTGAATTTCAGTTGTCGAGTTACAATACAGATTTAGAGCTCCAAACCTATATCATGTAAACAAGACCCGAGTGATGTTTTTGTTTACGTAGGTTTAACATACTGATATATGTTCGTCAAAGCAGATTTTTCAATATAAAAGTTAATTCTTAATAAAATCAAACATTTTCTAATGACTTGCTGAATCTCGTTTTGTTATAAACATGATATTTTCTAAATGTAAACAAAAACAAGTCACGAGCCCTTTTTACATTATGAAGAATTCTCCTGTATCTCCTTTGTAAATCAACAAATGATGTTCAAATTTTGCTGATCTTTAGAATTGCCTTAGTTAGGAATTGTAAAAATTAAAACTGGTAAAAAAAATTCAGTTGAAACTGTGTCCATGACCCTTTAAAACAAAATTTACTCTGACAGAATGTTAGGAACAATCCTTAAAATTTTCGATTCAATGAATTGCGTGAGCAGTTTATGAGAAATTCGAAGTTTAGTATTTTTTACTTTCCTTCTGTCCATGACGGGTGGATTGAAAGTTTAAACGCCATCTGCACAACTACAATTACAGTTTATCATTTCTATAAAGATAGCAACTATTATCTAGGGAATCACCTAGAACACTTCTAGACAAAATTCTTCCTTTTTCGTATGTTTCCTTGGCAAAGGTAGCCATGTTGAAATTGACATTTATTTTCTAAGCAAATACAGCTAGTCATCATCTTTTTATGAAAAGTTTCAGCAACATTGTCCCAGCCTCTGCAAAAAAGTCCCCAGGAATCGTCTTCTGGCGTATCATAGCAATGCGTTCCCCGACTTCGTTCTTGCAATTGGTGACATGATAATCATTCTCCCTCCTTTCCCACAACACACAATTAGATAAAATATGACAACAGAAAGTTACTTTACAAAAAACTACTACTTAAATAACTTTTAATACATGTACTTGTATACGAATGTGGGAGAGGATTGCAATTTGACGGCAAGAAAAAAAAATCACTGCCGCAATATAAATTTCTAGCGGCCACCAGGTAAAATATTTTTTCCTTGCACCTACTGGTTTTCGTAGACGTCAGATACTGCTTACCTGCATAAAACTTTTAATTAAATTAAAGGTTTTTGTTCAGGGAAAAGGTTTCTTGGTGACGCATGCCAAACAAATGAGGATTGTACTGGAACTCCAAACGGCGGAATTTGTAGAAATCCAGAAAACTATGAATATAACCATGGGAAGTGTCATTGTAATGATGGCTTTACGGAGTTTGCAAATCGATGTCTACAAGGTATGTCAGTTTGTAGGATTCAAACTACGAATCTTAAAAGATCTTGAAGAACAAATTAGAGGAAAAAAGTTGATCAAAAGAAATATTCTTTTTATTATAACTTATATCTTGAAAATCATGGATATGTCAATGTAATTTGGAACTCCTAAATTCCTATTTTTCTAAGTATTTTACCACTGATATATCAAATCCTTAGATTTAAACGATGTTTATTTCCATTTTTATGTTGACATGATGTATCTCGATTAGCTTGAAATAAAACATACTTCAGAGTCTAACAGATCTGTTTCATATTTGAATTATTTATGGACTCCAAATTTTAATTGTTTTATGAACTTTGATATTGAATATTGTTTGTTATCTCTATATCCTTCATTACAAGAAAAAGACGTAAAACGTAATCTAACAATAAAGCTTAAAAATAAACCTGATGAGTTTAACTTCCAATCGTCAATTTCCCTTATTTATACAGCAATATGCCCTTATCACCTACAAACGGGGTTCATATCCGTCAGTTGATTTGATACGTAATAGAATGCTATACATATGAAAAATATATATGTACACTGTATCTAAATCAAAGTAGTTTGTTAACAAACAAGTTATTGAAATAAAAACAAAAGCAGCTACGTTTTAATTAACCATTTCCCAAATTTTATGGTATATACAATGGACCTGCCTGCAAGTACATGTATAATGTTTTATTAAGTCAATTTCTGACTGACGTTTTTCATACTAATTATGATGCCTTTTTTTACTTACTGAATTGTTACCGATTATTTTCTGTTATTTCCTGATCATGACGGCGAGTGTGATCTGTTGGCGGGGATGCTCACATCTCCGTTTTACCTGATCCCATCTCTGATCCTTTTGTGGTACGTGTTTGTTCTGCTCCTGGTTTGTATTCATGATGAACTTTTGATCTTGAATACTTTTCGTTGTATCCATATATTTCATATGTTTACGTTTTGTTCATATCAATACAATTTAGTTCAAAATTACGAAGTTTGATTTAACATGTTTAAACTTAGTTTCATTACACATACACGAACCAATGATGTTAAAAGTGAAAAAAAAAACTTTGAAATATTTAGTTTATTTGTACTAAACATGTTTACAATCTGGTTCATTAAAAAAAAAATCAGAAAACAGACGCCTTCATGAACACTGTGAAGAAGACGTCCAATGTAATGGAACGAAGCACGCATCAAAATGTTCCTTAAATGTTTGCATATGCATGTGAAGAAGACTTCATCGACTTTCAGAATGAATGTCTAAATTGTTAGTTTAAAAAATAGCAATTAATTATTGCTATTACTTTAATGATGGCTATTAACTACAAGACAAGATCGCTTGATTAAGTATGTAAAATCGGTTCTCATTCATTCATTTTACATTTTCATATATTCCATAGATTCTGTGGGACTTGGTGACGAATGTAAACTCAATGCACAATGCCTTAACAATGGACTACTTACCCATTGTTCTCAAAGAAAGCTTAAAAATGTTTCTTCCTGTATGGATCCATATATAAAATTTGATCAACAATGCATTTTAGGTAGATATTACATGTATACCGAAATATTAATCTTAACTGAATTATTAATACAACCAGTTCAACATATGTCATGCCTTTAAAACGGGCTTAACCTCAAAAAAGAGTTTAGCGTATCTCATAACACTATATTTTGCTTATAAGAGTATTCTATGTAGGAACTCGAGTGTCAAGAAGATATTGGATTGAAACTTAATCTATCTGATAACATAATTAAGATGACATTATTGTCTCATTTTTATTATCAACTGATACCATCAATTAATCAAATTTGGGTATTTTTCACTGATATAGAGTATATATACTATATTTCGATAAAGGGTTTCAAATTTAAACCATTACTTGGCACTTGAGGCCATGGAACAGTGAGAGATTCATATTGTGCTAGTTGACGCCTGATAAGACAAGGGACCTCTTTTATTATGGTTATATCATAAGATCTCACGACCCTCACTTTATAGTGCAGAGTGCTTGTCGAAGGAAAAATAGCTACATATTTTTTATCAACTAAGGTCAGTCACAACTTGGGTTCGAACCCACGACCTTTTAATCTCGGAGTGAGCGCCCTACCGACCGAGCTACCGTGATGGTGTAATTTTACAAAGAGTTCGTATCTCCATATGTTTCATTTCAAAAAGAGTAAATTGTGAATTAAAAAGTCAATATTGTGTCAGTGGAAGAATAATTACACAGAATCTTCAGTACTTTGATATTTGTCTTCAGGTAATCTCTCAATCGGTGCACCATGCAGGCATCACGTCCAGTGTTATAATTCTGACAATGACACATAGGGATATGTTCTTGCATACACGGAAAACCATGGAATGGTTCATGTTTTAAGGGTAATTTGATAAGAATAAGGCTTTTATTTCTTCGGGCATTTAGAAGGTTTGATCATAAGCATTGCAATTTAATTTTTTCGGGGCTGTATATCCTAAAGCAATGCATTGGATGTTGTGCGTTTTTGTAAAATATTTTAATCAGAATTTCTTATCGAACATTCATGCATTTGTACGTTTTAAAGTTGGGAAATTTCTCCAAGAATCTTGTTTTCTTGACGAACAATGCACAGGAACAGAGAATGCCTTTGAATGTCAAAGTGGAGCATGTGGATGTAAAAAAGGATACTTTAGAAAGGATAATACTTGTATAGAAGGTAGTGTAAACAAAATATTTACTTTAATCAATGCATTCGAGACATAGCCAAACTTTATTTGTATATCTAAGATGATATTTGTATTCAAAATCTTGAATTGCATTCATGTTGATTGTAATCCGAAGTGGTCGGTATACAACAATTACAATACATCAACGACAAAGCAATGCTTCTAAATGCTGAAGAAAAGTTAAGGAAAATTAAAAAGTTAGAGCGTTCTTTATAAACAAAATGTAAAAAAAAAACATACAATACCGAACTATCTCCAACGTAAACGTCAATTTTAATAATATTTAAGTATATTCGTACTTTACTGTTTAAGGCCAAACTCACCTTAATAACATTAACATTGTTAATGCTACAAATAATTTACTGAAAAAAAGTTCTTAACATATTAACGGTAATGAATGAAAATTGAGAAACACAATACTCCTCAAGTGATGTTAGTCAGACGTGAATTCTTAATAATTCCAAAGAATTTTAGGAAAATTTGAAATCACAAAATTTCACAAAAAAGGGCTTTTCAACTTTTTATTCTTAAAAATAAAAATTGAACTCTTAGATCTAGTTATCTTATCACTGGTCAAATGCAGAATTGTAAAAACAATATAAAGGATATACTCTTAAGTTGATATTTTAAAAGATTCTAGAGTTTCTGATCCATTCACAACATCCATTTGGTCTTTAGCGACTACTAGGTATTCCCACAGTTAATCGAAATTCCTATGCATTGGTACTTATAATATTTAGCTATTCTATTTAGCTTATCTATTTTTGATATTCATTGAACTAAAATGTGTTCAACATTTTATACTTAAAGAGACGAAAACATTTGTTGTGCCCTTCAACTCAATATTTATATAAACAGTAAACTTTTATAACGTATTCGGTAATAAAGTATCTCAGAATGTAGAGTATCCGATCAAAAATCCCGGTAGTGTTATTATATATTGAGAAAAAAATAACACCACTTACAACGTATTTGTATATAACGTAGCATCGCTTATAAAGTATTAGAAATTTGGTCCTGTTACATAATTTCACCTCTTATACCGTATTCTGACACCTGGTTTAACACCTTTTGTATTATCTCTATGACCGCTGATTAGTCACGGTTTCTTGACTTCACAGCAGTGCCTTACTGCGTATTTTTTTCTAAGCAGGTTTCTTTTTTTTTCAGGTAGAAATATGTACAATAAATCATTGAAATAAATTAAGTTCATCCGGTAGATGTTTTCATAATCATAAGTGTTGAAATAAAATCCATTCAAAGTGAAATCGATGAGCCAATGCCTGACACGTGCAATTATCATATACCCAGACAATCGATTAACATTAATTTTATCCGAAATTACAACTTACTTAAATTCGTGTGAAGGTGCGAAAGACAGAAATAATGTTTAATTTCTCCGCCGTTGCAACATTGGGGACTTTTGTGACTAAACGTTGTAAGGCAAAACAGAAAATTATCATGGACTTATTAAATGATCTGTCGGTAATCAATATTGTACGTCTCTTAGTGTATTTGAAATATTTTATAGTTTGCAAAATCATAATGAAATTTAATATTAATCTTTCTCAATAGCAGAAAAGAAACTGAATATACTGATAATTTTTTTTTACATACTGTAAAATCACATATTTTCGAGAGGTCAAATTTTCGTGGTTTGAGGAAAAATTTTGGTTCATTGGGATTTTATTCCGTGGTTGAAGAACTGTTCAGTAGTAATATATGTGAAAAATTGCATTTCGTGGTAGATATACCTTGAAAATCGCGCAAATTAAACACCACGAAAATAAGTGATTTTACAGTACTATACGAACTTGAGAATTTTGATATCTAACCAGACGTTTGACAGGTGTTTACGGTTGAGATGTACCGAGTATTTTCTTTTTCCGTTCATAACTTGCACCGGTTATAACGTAGGATTTATCAAAGTCGCAAAATCGAGAAACATGTGTTGTTTATTTGATAGCGAGGTGTTCTTTTCAACGCTATTCATCATCCACACACTCTTTGTAATTAACCTTTACTGTATCAAATGATTTATTCAACGAGGAAAAAGATTTATCTTTTATTACGCTTTGATACACACTTATCACATTTATTTTGCCTATTCCAAAGTCGAGTGGATTCGTCGTATCACAGGCGTATCATCTTTTATTATACGTACAATCAAATTATTGGAAAAGACCTTTTATTTTGTTTATTATTTACAGTGAATAAAATAGATTACAAATCGTTTGTGCTCGGGAGTGGAGGGTTTCTTCTCGGTGTCTTTTCTACAGTGATCGTTTTTGCATCTTTTCGTAAAGGAGGGTGTGCAAGGAGAGAAAATCAAAGGTAGAATTCAGTCATGTTCTTGTATTATGAAAGCATTCAAGATGAGAAGGACATAAATAAACCTTTCAATTTCTAATTATAGATCTGACATCCGACTTACCTCAGATACAAGAAATGATGACAACCAGTACTCTTATGTCGAGCACAGGGACATCAGAAATCAAATCGTAAGAAATTTGAAAGCAAATTATCATCATCATCATCATCATTTATTATTCATTTCAATTCCAAATCAAATTTATGTGAGCCACCTTTACCTGTGACCAAAGCATAAAAGACTTTTAAAACTTAATTGAAGGAATGAATAAGATAACAATATGTAAGAAAGGTAGTGCGACAAAAATCATGCATAGAATTTTAAAAAAAGAGATATCATGCATAGAATTAAAAATTAATTTTAAACAACAACAATACTAGTATTGAATGTATTACAAAATAGTGTAAATCAAAGTATGTGTCCATTATATTTAATTTCAGGAACTATCATCATACAATCCCGAACATCAAGATATCCAAACGAAAAATGTTACATACAATCACCTGCACGAAGAACGACAAAACATTTCAGAAAACGATTATGGCTTTTTTCGTTCAAAATAAAGGATTCTCTACCAAAGAGGCACAAAAGTGATAAATAATAAGCAATTTTTAACTCTTTGTGATTTTCAGTTTACAGTCTTTTCAATGCTAGTGATTTAAGGTTTTTAAATAATATTTTTTTGTTTATTTATATGTTATTTAACGCCCCTTTCGAGAATTTTTTCATCATATAAATACACCACCATTTTCCGGTGGAAAGCGGCACATTTTTATCCTGTAATCAGCACTTATGGCCATTGAGCAGAGATTGTTGGATTGATTATATATTGTCTAACGTCCCTCTCGAGAATCTTTCAACGATTTGGAGACGCCACCACATGCTGCTGCAGATTTTATACTAGTCAGTATGCTCGGCAATCAGGGCCATTAAGCAGTGAGGGATCTTTTTCGTGTCAGCACTTACTGTGACACGCGACCTCATCCGAAGGACGGGGTCTCCACGTCCCACACTGGGATTCGTACCCGCGAAGTAAGGATCAGCCTGCAGGTAGGTGACCATTGATCAGTGAGGAATCCTTTTCGTGCCAGCACCTACTGCGACAAGAGACCTCGGTTTATACAGCCACATCAACAAATCGGTCTACACAGTGAGGTTCGAACCCGCAACGCAAGGATCAATTTTTAATTTGCGAGTCTGGAGGAGACGCTTTAACCACTGCGCCACGCAGTCGATTAAAAATATATGTTTATATGCAAGTAAGTATGCCATTCAAAAAATGAAAAGCGTGATTCGGGGAACACAAAATATAAAAACCTAAAAATTATTATGAAAAATTATGAAAAATTGTGAATACCTTGATCGACTTACCTTTTAACTTAAAATAGTATTGTTAACTATAGTTTACTTGTGTAAACATTGTAAAAGCCTTTGTAATAGCTAATACTGTAAAAAAAAAAAATAGGTTAAAATTTAATTTCCAATGTTATGTTTGTCTTAATCTTGTTGAATTTACATCTGTAGCTACATGAACAGTCCTTTTGAAAATAGGTGTTTTTAGGCGCTAGTTTTTTTTTATTTTCCAAATTTGAAACAAAAACATTGAATTCGATTGTAAGGTTTTCGTTGTCCACCCTTTTGTTTGTAATTGTCTTTGTCTTTAAGTTATTTGCATTAAAAGCTACATCGTTTACATGTACATTAAATCTTGTTATTATGGATGCTTACTAACATTTTTGTACTTATCATTAGACGACTATTAACATTACAATCAATTTGACTAAAATAAAGTATTATGTACGGAAGAAAAAAAAATTAATTCGTACCATAAATAGCTTGTAAATAGTTATTTGCTTACAACTTTGAACAACAAAAGTATATAAATGTCCTTTTTCTCTGTCATTAAATTAGTTTTTGACTATTTCGCAACAGAAAATTTTGACATTAAAATTGCAGCTCATATTGCTCAAAGAAACGTACATAACGATTGTTTTCTTTATTTTTCTTCTGATAACTTTCTTTAAATATGTATCATTATTATCATTGAACATTTCACATTGGAATAATAAATAATTTGCATTGACAAAGAGAAACTATTTTTTTTCATTTTGTCATTTTGCAAATCACATCAGGTCTTGATGACTTTCATGACCTTCAGAATCATGATGATGGTTGTGACATTTTAATACGCAATGTTTCAATCGTATTGAAAGATTGAGGGACTATATGAAAACCATCTATCCTTCTCTATTCAACAATCCAGAAGTGAAAAAAATTTACATAAATTACATGATCAGTACGTACTCGTCCCTGATGACAAAGCAAGTGAAAAAAATTTTTTCGTTTGTAAGGCTTATTATATATGTTGTATTTTAGAAGAACTTGGATTTAATTCTATAAGTGACAGTCCAACTCATATACTATACTCATAGTATCCTACATAGAGAAGAAATTCTTCAAAATCATACGTCAGTTTTGATGATTTTGAAGATCCCAAAGAACCAAAAAAGAATCTTGAACTACAATATCTACATTGTATTCCGAAACATCATAAAAATTCATACAAAGAGTGTTCCAGTAATTGCTTAACAAATCTTCCTTTTTTACTCCTCACTTATATGTTAAAAGAAGTGCAGGAGAAACTTCAAGGGCACTGTGCAACAATAAATTCAGAAAGTGGTTTAAATCAGTTAAGATACTTAAAAATTCCAATCAAATTTTGGACAGTTTAAAATCACAAGATTTAACAAAAACATCTTAAAAACTTATGACTTTTCATCTTTATACCCAGCAATTCCCCACGCTAAGTCAAGGTTTTTTGATAGCATTGGCAGCTATAAAAATGGAACTCATATATTTACTAACCCTGTATTTGATCATTTGCAAAATTATTTTTTAAAACATTCTGTAAGTACTCACAATTACTCTAAGGGCAATATAAAAAAGATACTCGAATCTGAAGTTGACATCAAAAAGTTTCTGATAGACAATGTCTACATGTATGTGTGTTTTGGACATCCGGTCTACCATCAATCTATTGGAATCACGGTTATTAGTAGACCTATATTTGAATTTATATAAGAAAAATTTGTCCCAAATCTCTAACATGTAAAGAAGGAAACACTCGCTGTGGCCTTCAACTCGACATTTAGATATATCACCTACAAAATGCCAATCAACAATGGTAATTTCCATTCTGAAGTCGATACGATATATCCAGGTGAGCTTGAGATAAAGATTCCACAGTGTTTGACACATCAATTTCATATTTGGATAATTTACTTGAAAAAGACGTAAATCATAATGTAACATCCAAGCTCTATGATAAACTTGCGCATAATTGATGACTTATGAAGAATTATAATTCGTGCCACATTTAATCGCGATATAGACATTAATTGAGCATTGAATTCATATTCTGGGATGTCTTCGGTCCTATAACACACCTGGCCGTGCCGACAAATTGAATACCGCGCGTTAGCGCGGTATGATAATTTGTAGGCACGGCCAGGTGTGTTATAGGACCGAAGACATCCCAAAATATGAATTCAATGCTTATATTTACATTCTCTAATTTTCCTTCTTCATAATTGTTTATTTCGTTCATCTTAACGCCCTTCAAAACTGCCGTGGTTATTAAATGTAAGAGCCGTTTGTGACGTCAAATAACGTCAAATGACGTTGCAAAGTTAAATAACGCAAACAAACATTGCGAGGGAAAAAGTGACAATTTAATTCTTAACGGACATTACGTTAATTTTAACGTTAATTTTTCAGGGTTATAGTTTTTCATTAAATTGAAATAAAACATTTTACATTTTGGTGTCCCTAAAGTATTGAAAATGCTTATAGTTCCTGCTGTGTATTCTAACGCGCGGTGACAAGGTTTCGCGTGTGTTATAGAGATTTGAACGTCGTGGATTTCTTATGAATTTCATAAAGAAAATTACACTGAATGTAAATATTTCTTCATGAACAAGACTACGTTTTTCCCAAATTGTGGCTACAGCTCTATATAAACCTAAGGATACTATGACATAAAAGAATAATATTTCTGCGAGGTCATTGTTTAATTGCAAATTAAAGTTTGAATATAAATTGGGATTTATTTCAACATAAAATTTATGTTTTAGAGTCTTCTGATTTTCATCTCAGTAAATTTCAGTGAGTAGTTGTAACCATGCCAGGATAACCACTCAATCCCATCAGCGAATGAAGAGTGTGTCCCTCGAAGATATATTCCATTCAAGTTGGCCTGGTGACAATTATGGTACCACCAACCGCCTTTGAATCTGCTGGCGCAATTGTTTGAATCATGATCTTTTGTGTAAAATTGAACACCGTTGTGCCCTGTCAACGAATCACCTATCAAAAAATATACTAGTATTTTTTAGTTTCTCTCGTTTTCATTGAAATTAAACAGCATTCAGTACCGAAAATTTAATTTTAAAAATCTAATTAATTCAAAGACATCAAGATCTCACCTGCTGTTCCTATGTAGTCCTCTAGCGTTAGCTTGTAACCTTGACTTTCGTCTCCAATAGAAAAACGTCTATAGATGGCATAACGAGACTGGCCCGAAAAGTCAGACATGTCTATACGTAGCTCATAAAAACCTTGACTAACAATTTCATAAATCCTATGATTTCCTGAAATCAATATTTAAACAACATTTACAGAGAAAATAAAAGAGGCTGCATAATGATAAAATAAATATTGGGCTCTTCTGATGATTTGATCAGGCTTTTTGGCAAATTACGATTAGCACAATGTAAAGGGGACAAATCTGCTGTATGACAATTTTCTATTTATCATCGTATGTACATGTATGTAGTACGAAGTCCTTAAATTGTTTTTCTCTATCATAATGTTTGTAAATATGCAAATTTAGATAATCTAGTAAAATAGTGTCTCCAAATTTGGATTTATCTAATTCTGCAACATACATTCTCATGTCAATATGCAAAAATATAAGCACGCCAAACAAATTATGTGGAGATCATTAGTTTATTAAGTACTTTTTAGTAGCATTTACAAGTCGGATGTCTATGCAATTATATCACAAGTGTACATTAATGTATCCCATGGCAACGTGTAAATTGCATGTTTTAACTAAGGTAAGATAAAACATATGGAGATGACGAACAGTATTCGAACTCAAACGTCCAATGAAACAATGAAAATCAAAAGCAGAGCAAACAAGGACCTCTAAAAATAAGACGTGGGATCAGGTGACATGAAAGTGTTAACTTTTATTTTTGACTTCTCAATTGATGTGGTTTATCAACAGTGAGACGTGCATGAATTAAACCTTGCTCTTCATCAATCTTAAAATCAGATTTAACAAATGGATAGGTATTTTGGACG